AACTGGCAGCGTTGCGAGGCAAGGGCTCCAACACGTACGGCTGTAAGCCTTCTACACCAAACCAAGCTTCTGCCGCCCTGGTGTCCTCTTCCACAACATCTTTGTCCCCGCTTTCCTCCTATAAATAAAAAAAACGTATGATGGAGGAGACTCATCCACGACCTCCAACACTAAACTCTCCTCCTCATGCATGTTTCCGTTGTCCATAGACGTTCCTTGACAGTGTCGTTGCTAAGTGCTACTTGGTCCTAATGTAATTTCCCTTTTTGAACCTACTAGCGCTAAGTTGCTAACTGGTTAGCAAGATATCCTCCGAGAAACCGGCCACAATCAAACTTGCTTGTGAACCTTCGGCTTCAACATTCCCATGCACCACTCAGGAGAATTCAGAAATACAACAGTTGGAACAGCCGTTTCCCAACGACTTAAAAAAAAGAGGGCACATGCAGTTGCTTCCAAAAGTATTCAACCCCCTTGAACTTGTTGACCTTTTGCCCCATTTTAGGCTTTAAACATAAAAATATAAAATTGTAATTCTTTGTAAAGAATCAAACCCCTATGAGATGATGAACAGGTCCTAGCCATTAGGAAGTTTTAAAAAAAATCCGTCTTCACCATCTGCCAGGTGATACCTAAATGGAATACAGTGATTCATGACAATTCAACAATAAACTAGTTTTCCATGTAATGTTATCAGGCTTACAAGCAGTTTTGATATGGTTTAGTTTTACTGAATATGTATTCCTAATATCTTTAAAAACGTTCTTTCATCGTCAAAATGACCATTTCAAACAAATTGACATTATTTACATCTAGAAGAAACATACTGGATGTCTAGAAATAAATTTTAGATCTCCATATTCCCATTGTTACTGGTCAGCATTTTTATTATTTTTACACTGATGAAATGTATTTCAGATATCATAAATACATATGCAGTCAAGATGATAAATGTCAAAATGGGCATTTAAAATGTGCAAACATTTCTAGATATATAGAACTTAATTCTTACTAGTATAATTTTTTTTTTAATACTTTCCGAAATTCAACTTCTGCTGCAAATATGTTATTGAGAAAATCTATTATAACAGTTCTGTCTAGGAGTGTGATTTTGATCAGAAAGAATTTTATTTAAGTGATCTACAAATGGAACAACAGAGAGGAGATGAATGTTAAGATGACCTGCCATAGGGGACTGCATAAAAACCTAGGTATTAACTTGAGCATCAATCTTCTCCTTCACCATTTTCCTCTCCTTTGTAGTTGTAGTGCTATTTCCCTCTTTTAAAAATTTGTTTTTTTCTTTCATTTCTTTGTTGAACCTGCTTATTGAAACAGTCCCAGTATCTTGTAATAAGAACAAAGTGATCTGATTTTCAATTCACTTTATTGATATTGTTGACATTATGCATGTTTATTGTGCTCTCATTTGTCATTTAATTTTTATTTTTTTTATTGGTCTGCTGTATGTCACATAAATTGTTTGCTGCCTGATTTAGAGCACCTGTGTAATAATAAAAGGTGTGCTGTTAGAGAAATCTCAACTACAACAAAAGTCATACATGAGTTTTGTGTTTTATATCCGCTGTGTTCGAAAACGTTACTCTGATAACAGATATGCTGTGTATAATGGTAAATTTTAATAAAACACAAACTTGTGAAAAACTTTTTATATGCAGAAAGATTTCTTTGACTAGACTTTATGTAGAAAAAAAATATTTGAAACATCTGTGCCATAATCACAGGTCCACCTGCCACACTGTCCACTAAAACCGTGGAACAAATATGCTTCAATAGACTCAGTCCAAATTTGCTGCAGTCATTATCAAGATGTGGTTTTATACAGTTTAAGGCTTTATCAAGATTTTCAAATGGATTTTTCATGATGTTTTGCAAATAAAAAAAAAACAAGGCTTTAAAGGGATTTTTGTTCGGTTTGATCACCTATAAATCAGAGATTGACTTAAAAAAGATAGTTTGTTTGTTTTTAATTACATTTCCACCGTATTATTTGGAGCTACACCTAATTAATGTAATTTCAGGAGGGAAGTACTGCGAAACCCATCCGGCCTCTTCTTGCTATTTTTATTCAAGAAAATTTTTGTTTACAACACAAACTATTGTCTACTTTGTACAGATGTTTTTTTTACTGCATTTTCTGTGGTTAATGTTTACGATTAATGTAATTGCTACTAGATTAACGTACTGAGCAAAATATTAAAACCTCTTGGATTCTAAAAAATTGTTCTACTTTTAGGCTAGGCTTAAAACTTTCCTTTTTGATAAAGCTTATAGTTAAAAACAGTGATGTTTGCTTAGATGCTGGTTGAGTAGAGAAGTAAGAGATACAGGGAACGGCGTGATCAAGTGGGATAAGAATTGTTCAAGACCAGATCATTATAGGCCGGTTGGTCCTACAACATGCTGGAGTAGAATCACGGAGAAAATGGTTCATGAAAGACAAACGTTTTTATTGAATCCAATGGATATTTATCTAAGCATCAAAGTGGTTTTAGGAGAGGAAGGAACACTATGGGCCCTGCAATATGTTAACAGCATGAGGTAATGAAAGCTAAAGTTCATAAAGAAAGTGTTTTGGCGTTCTTTCTAGATACAGAAAAGGCTCATGATATGATGTGGAAAGAAGGTTTAATGATTAAACTGTGGAAAATAGAATCTATACTGTTTAGATAACTTTTAACAGAGCAAGTAATACAGGGAAGAGTTGGGAAGATTATTCAGGGAAATATGGTTTAGAAAATGGGACTCCAAGAAAGAATAATATGTTCTTTATTATTTTTAGTTTTAACGGTGAGAAGCCTTTTTCCTGTACGATTTGTAACAAGAATTTTGATGTAAAAAGTAGTTTGAATAAAGGCATGAGGTGAGAAGCCTTTTGTATGTCTGTCCTGATGAAAACGCTTCACTCAGAAATCTAATCTTGATGCACACATCAATCACATACATTTGTGACAAAGGTTTTAAACAAGAAGGTAATTTGGGTCTCAATTACATTTATTCATGCATGATGTGGATTGATTTATATATTTTTTTTAAAGATTTGTTTAATAAAAGTCCCAGCAATTAGACACCACAGGAATGAACAGTAAAAGGCGTTTTCCATGTTTGACTGGTGATAAAATGTCCATCTAGAAACTCCTTCACTTCATTACATGAGAAACACACGGGTTAATGGTCCTTTTTCAGCTAAGTTTTGAGAAAGCCATTAATTAACAGCTCTGTTTACATAGAAACTAGAACACATAAAGGGTTATATTGTTAAACTGCTAAATATTCAGGTCCTAGGTGAATATGTGGATCTGAACATTTGAAAGTTAATTAGTTTAGGGCTGAGTAAATTTGATTTAAATGGCCAAAAAGTGAACATTGCCCTAACTAAAAAAAAAAAAAAAAGACGTTTACATTCACAATTTCTTACTTATTCTGTCATGAAGGTAATAAACATAATAAAGTGCAACAACAACTTTTGGTTACAGTTCAATTTAAATTCCGTTTATTTATATAGCGCCAATTCAAAACACATGTCATCTCAAGGCACTTTACATCTCACCAGATCATACAGTCCAATTTATTTAAAGTTTCCTATCTAAGAAAAACCACTTGATTGCATCGACTCATTGACTCAAATACAATCCCTCACACTAAGCATGCTTGTAGCGACAGTGGA